ACTCAGCTCCTCAGGGTAATGCTCCTTCTGCTCGTGCCATCCTTCGTCAGCAGTGAAGAAGGCGTGTTGTGGCCCGGAGAAGCGTCGACGAGCTGGAGCCTTTGCCAGACTCACCCTTGCCTTTTTGGCGGATGTGTATGCGGCCGTGCTGAAGGATCAAGACGTCCTTGATCTTGTCGAAAGTTGTCACATTTCCTGTGGATGCTAACACCATCAGGTTCTCCGAAGGCGAGAGGCCTGCATCGTCCAAGAGATGGGGGCCGAGCATATCGTCGCTCATCAAGATCTTAGGACCTAACTTGGAGACAATTTTCCACCAGCGCTTCCTTCGGGAGGTGTACGAGACCGTAAACTCACCGTGCTGTCGAGACAGTGGTCCATATGGTCTCTGCCCCACCTGGAGAAGGATCTTCGCTTTCTGCGCCTCTACGGGTAAGAATGACATACGAATCGCCAGCAGCAGTTGGTCGATCCCATTCGGAGTCAGCAGCACGTCCTTGCCGAGACCCATTGCAGTATCTAACGCGACACATATGAGGCCTTCTACAACCTTGTTGACAGTTGAGGTAATTACGTGTTGTTGTGGTGCACCCGTCCCGTGATCCACTGAGGCCAAGGCGGCACTCATGCGCATATCTGTGCGGAATTCCAACTCGTGAAAGTTGTCCTCCGTGCCGTCGTAAATGTAGGAGCCACTCTTCGTCTCGGACCGCGTCAACGCGTTGGCGCTTGGCAGATAGCGAAGAGAAGAAGGTGCCATGGCGCAAGGCTCAGTCCCCTAGCGAGGGAAACTGCCAGTACAGAAAGTAAAGAGAGGTAGTGCGACATGCTCTGGCGAGACGCGCGCGCAGTAATACGATACGGGGATTGTGTGGTAGTTCCGTTATTCGTGTGATTATGATGCGCTTTAGCGCAATAGCAAAAAAGGGGGCCCCAGAGTCAAACGGCGTCGAGTGGCGGCGAGTGGTGCATATACACACGTCACACACGCACTGTATCACACTCACACGTGTCGACCCAGAAACTTGACACTTCAACGAACTGCACTGGCGGAGGGTGGGTCTTCTCAGCTGCGGCTCTCACCTGGGCGCCGCACAATCCGATTTTCAAGGCCCCGGGCAGTTACACGGAGCGCCGCATACATTTGTACAACGCCACTTCCGACAACAACGCGGAAGGAAAGCGTCTCGTTTGCAAATGGTGACTCTCGTTTAAGCGCCGCGCGCATCCTGTCTACACATTGCCAGCACATGGGCGGATGAAGGGCAGTTTCTTTGCAAAAAGCAGCTCGCGCTTGACACTCCCGGAGCACGTATCGCCACACATTTCATTTCTGTCGCCACACACTGAATTTTCTGCGAAGGCTACACGGGTGGAGGACGGGTCCTTTTCAAGATGGGGTTTCCGTTGGGATGGATCTTATTTCCTGGGCCACAGTGCAACGGTTATATGGGTGGGAGTGTCTTTTGGGAACATCTTGGGGCCTCTTGGGGGCTTGGGGCCTCTTCGGCGCCTCTTTGGGGAAGGTTCATGTCCAGATCGACTTTCGCGGAGCAACTTCTCCAACCTTACGGCCCTACCTCTTGGCCCTGCTTACAGCCAGAAGGTTTGAGGGCGGCTCCGTCTCGGAACGGGGCCCTCGCCCGAATGGCAAGGCCAGCCGCCCTCTGGGAGTGCTGCGTTCGCCACCACTTCGCCGACCCCTCTGCGCCCCGCCCCCTCTGGGAATGCTGCTCTTCGGGCCCCTGTCCGTGAAGTCCCGTCCTGGACGCATCGCCTCTGCAAGTTCGGGGCTCTTCTGACCCAGGTCAATGCAAACCCGGCTCAGGCAAGCCTTGCAGGATCCTGCAAGATCCTGCAGGATCCTGCAGGCTCCTGCGCCCAAGCCCAGGTCAGTGCGCCCCTGGCCCTGCAGGACCCTGCAAGATCCAGCGCTCTGGCTGACCACCGTTTGCACTGACCCCCCGTCTCTGGCGGCCCCGACAAGTGCTGGTCCTGGGGCCTCTGGCTCTGCAACTTCTCGCCCAGGGTCGGCCCTGACTTGACCAGATCGCTGCCGCTCCCAACACTGCGCCTCTGGGGAGATCGCTCCTGGGTCCCCACGCCCTGCATGCTCCCGCACAGAACCGACCCTGACCTCCCGCCAGGGTCCCTCGCCTTGCACCCACAACTCTGGACATGTTGCAGTTAGGGCCCCCGACCTTGCAACCCCGCACCCAGAACCGACCCTGAACATCCACCAAGACGCCAGTCACCCCGCCACCCCTCTATGGAAATGCTGCTCTAGGACGCCCCACCCTGCAAGTCCTCACCCAGCAACGGCCCTGGCCCCCCGTGAGGTCGCCCCCCTCCCCGACCCCCCTCTCTGGGAACGTCGTTCTTGGGGCACACGTCCATACGATTTCTCGCCCAGAACCGACCCTGATCCCCCCTCATCAGGTCGCCCTCCCTCCCGACCCCCCCCCTCTGGGAATGTCGTCCTTGGGGCTCCCAGCCTTGCAATCCCTCGCCCGGAACAGACCCCGACCTCCCACCAGGTACCAGGTCGCACCCGCCCCCCGCGCCCTCTCTGTAGGGATCTTGTTCGCGCCCCCTTCCACCCCGCTCCCGACCCTACAATTTTCTTGCACAGAACCAAGACCGGACCCCCTATACCATGTCGCTACCCTTCCCCACTCCACCTGGGGGCGGGTTGTCTTGGGACCTCCCCCCCGACCCTGCCCTGCAAGTTCTCGCCCAGAACTGGCCCTGACCTCCCGCCAGGTCGCCCATCCCTCCCCCCCGACCCCCCCCCCCTCTCAGACTGTCCCCCCCCCCCGCAAGGGGGTGCCCCCCCCATCCCCTTCTGGGCATACTGTTTTTTTTGGCTCCCGAACCTGCCGCCGTGAGACGGCCACAGAGGCCCCCAAGAGGCCCCCTAAGAGGCACCCGAGAGGCCCACGGAGGCCCCCACGAGGCCTCCCAAGCGGCCCCCTGGAAGCTCCCAAAGGGCCCGAATACCCAAGACTGACCCAAAAAGGAAACGGAGGAGGAGGATAAATCATATGCGGAGGAGGAGGAGGAGGAGGAGGAGGAGGAGGAGGAGGAGGAGGAGGAGGGGGAGGGGGAGGAGGAGGAGGAGGAGGAGGAGGAGGCGGAGGAGGAGGGGGAGGAGAATTCCTCATCCTTCGCCTCGTCCTGTTTTCTCCTTCCTCTCCTCGCCCTCCTCTTCCTCCCCCGCGTGCTCCCCGCAGGGCTTCCACAACGGCTTGGGCAGCGCATGGCTCAGGAGCGTGGCCAAGCTTTGCCTCACAGCTCGGCCACACAGGCGCATAGTCCTATATATTTAAGTAATTAAACCATTACTCAATTCATTATTTAATTCCTTCATCACTTAATTACTTACTTAAATTTTACATATGTATGTATTCTACGGGGGTGCCCCTCCCCTCCTCTCTGTGTCTCCCCGTCACCCCCCTCCTCCCTGCCGCTGCTGGTTGCACTCGGCCCCCCTCCCGTTCCGCTCCTCTCCCCTTGCCCCTCGCCGTCCCCCTCCACAGTGACACACTATGAGTACTACTCTCCTCTCTCCCCTGACGACGTCCTGAAAATGTTCGGCCCCCCTTCCGCGTATTGTGTTTTACACACAAGACTCCCGGGAATTGGGTTTCGTTGTTTTTTTCAAATAGTGCTCCCGCTGAAACGCTGGCCTCATTGTCTGGCTTCCGCATGTTCGGGCTCGTGCTCCCGCTGCAGCGCTGGCCTCATTTCCGTGCTTCCGCTCGTTCCGAATCGTTCTCCCGCTGCAGCGCTGGCGTCATCATGTCCAGTGCCATGCCACGGCATGAAATGCAATGCTATGTGTGTTCCGCTGTGCGGTGCTATGCCTTCAGCTGCAATGCTATGGTATGCAGTGCTTGGCTACGCAGTGCCACGACATGCTATGCCATGCTCCGCTTTGATCTTCACCGCCATGCTATGCCATGTTCTGTTATGTGCCGCTTTGCTATGCCATTATTTGCGCTGCATTGCTTTATGATGCAATTCTTCACTACGCAGCGCCACGGCATGCTATGACATACTACGCTCTGCCGTGCTCTTGTACGTCTTGCTATGCCGCGCTCTACGATGCATCGCGCACCCTCTGGGGATCATTGCCCCACTCGGCATCCGACTGTGCGAATAGAGAGGAGACCTACGCCATGACGTCAGATATGGCGCGAGCGCGCCCACCTTGTCCCTCCCCCTCCTCCCTCCCCCCCTTTCCCCTTCCCTTGCCCTCCTCCTCCTTCCCGTTCACTTACCCCTTCCCTTTCCCTTTCTCCGCCTCCTTTCCTTTTCCTTTCCCCTTCCCCTTCCCTCCCCAAATATCCAGTGTCTCGATTTTTCGAGACACAGGCCCCCGACCTCTCGACCACTTCCCCAGGACTGGTTTCTCATCCCGAGTCGTCTCTTGCCCCACGGCCCAGTAAAGGCCCCGAGATGCCGAAAACTGTGAAAAACCTCCGTCTCGATTTTTCCGAGGCTCTGGATGTCTGGGTCTCCCCCCCATTCCCCTTCCCTTCCTAGAGGCTGGAGGCCTCCTAAATGGGGTCCGAGTAGATAGGGGTCGAAGGATCGCGCCGCATCGCCGATGCATCGGCAACCTCGGGGTGGTGAAACACGGGCTCCACATCGAGCCGCATCGTCGATGCATCGTCGATGCGGCGCGATCCTCCGACCCCATCTACTCGGACCCCATCTAGAAGGCCCAGGCTTCCCCTACCCCGCCACCTCTCCCTCCCGGGGGCGGCCAAGAGGGGGGCGTCAAAGAGGGCAAATCATGGCTAGGCGCATGTGCGCGGCCTAGGTGGGGGGTGGGGGGGCAGGGACGTATTGAAACGACAAGAGGCGCCATGACATCGGGGGAGATGTCATGGCCCCCGCCCTGACATCCCCCCTCCCCTAGTCATCACCCCCCTCCTGGCCGCCCCCGACCCTCCCCCTCCCTGCCGCCCCCCGCCCACTGGGTGGGCCCGGGCCTCGCTCTCGGCCACGCCCTGCGCGCCGGGGCACGGGAGGAACCTGCCCGCCGGGCGGCCCATGGTCGTGCGTCGGGCGGCGGGGAGGAGGGGGGGGGCTGCTGCCGGAAGGTGCTCCCGCGAGGAGGAAGAGGCTCCAGAGACCCCCTCGAGTCATGGCAAATTCACGACGGTAAAGTTTTATCGCGATTTTCGGCCTCCTCCTCCTCCTCCTCCTCCTCCTCCTCCATTCCTTCAAACCCCGCCCCAGACATGCCCGCGTCCTGAAAAAATCGGGACGGGAGGTTTTGGGCCGTGTTGGACCCCTGCATGGGGTCCCTGACTGGGCCGCGGGACCGTAAAAAAACGACTCGGGATGAACAACTGGTCCCCGCGGAAGGGGTCCAGACCTCTGGGGGTTGACGTTGCGAAACAAATCGCGACGTCGGGGGTCTGGGAGAGACAGACGTGCACCTTGCGCCCTCCCGTCGGGCTTTCTTTCCTCCACGGAAGAAGCAGCTGGGGAAGCAGAGACGCGCGGCGAGGGCCCGGGATAAGAAACCATTGGATGATGAGCGTTTCTTTCTTCGGCGTTTCGACATTTGGCGAAAAGGGGGGAGGTGGGGGGGCGGTCTGGCTCCAGACCTCTGCTTAGTGCGACTGTTTGCAGCAGTGTGTCCTATGGGGGAGGCTCCACCCGCTCGGAACAGGCGCCAAAAACAGCCAATGTCCACTCCACCGGGGGGGGGAGGGGGGGTGCGAAGGCCCGCGCCGATCGGCAAAACAATGAAAAACAAAAACGATCACATGAGGAATGCAACGTCTCTTGGCCGATGGGACACCGAACGAGACTTGGCCAAGGACTGCCATCGCCCGCCGCCGGCATCATATCCGGCATCCCCCCCAAAAAGCTGGGACGCTCCCCCGCCGTACGTGCACGCACGCCCTCCGCGATGGCGCGTGCGCCGGACGGCCACACCCAGCGCAGGCGGGCGGAGCCTGACCGCGTACGTGTGCGCGTATCGTCGGCCTCGGGTCCTCCATTCCGTTTCCTTGCAGCTGACTCCGTCGTGTCGCATCCCAAGATGTACTGGAAGGTCAACGTTTTCTTATTCGGCGTTTCGACATTGGGCGGAAGGGGGGGGGAGGGGGGGGAGAGTCTGGCTCCGGATCTCTGCTTAGTGCGACTGTTTGCAGCAGTGCGGCCTATGAGGGGGGGCTCCACCTGCTCGAAGCAGGCGCAACAAAAACAGCCAAGATCTACTCAATGTAGGGTGGGGAGGGTGGGGGGGGGGCCCGCGCCAATCGGCAAATCAATGAATAAAAAACATCGATCACTATCGTCGGCCTCAGGTCCTCCGTGCCGTTCAATAAGACTGACTCCTTCGTGTCGCACCCCTAGATGTATGAGAAGGGCGGGGTGGGCGTTTCGCCTGAGACTTCATCACGAACTATGATCCAGAAACTTGACATGTTGCAATAGTTTCACGGGTGGAGGGCGGGTCGTTTTCAAACTGTGAGTTTCCCCTCAGCACCGCGCACATTCTTTTAACAGTTTGCAGCAGTTTCGAGGATGTAGGGCGGTGACTTTTCAAAACGCTGGTCTCGCCTAAGCGCCGCGCACATGCGTCTTAAGCGCTTGCAGCCGTTTGAAGGTTGGAGGGCGGGTCAATTTCAGAATGCAGTTCTCGCCTCAGCACCGGCGGGCCGTTTTCAACATGTGGTGCTCGCTGTAGTGCCGCGCACATTCGTCGGAAAACCCTGCACCATTTTACGGACGGAGGGCAAGTCTTTTTCAAGCTGTGGTTCTCGCTTTAGTGCCAAGCGCATTGGTAGGAGGAGGAGGAGGAGGAGGAGGAGGAGGAGGAGGAGAAGAAGGAGGCAGGAGGAGAAGGAGGCAGGAGGAGGAGGAGGAGGAGGAGGAGGAGGAGGAGGAGGAGGAGGAGGAGGGCCCCCTCCCGCCCCCCACATGGCGTCGAGCTGGTGGCCGTTCTTCTTCCTGACCCAGATCTGGTGGCCTGCCGCGGGCTGCGGCCGCGGGGCGGCACCCCGCGACGGGCGGTGCGGCCGCTACGCGGTACCGGCCGTGAGGCAGCAGAGAGGTGCAGCTGCGAAGCGCCTGCGGGGCGCCGGGGGGGGGGCAGCACCGGGAGGCCGCCCCAGGCATGCGACGTCCTGATTATTCCAATGCGGGCCCCCCAGAAATCCCGACCCTTTCTCCGCGACCGGCTTTGCATCCTGAGTAGTTTTTTGACGCTCCCGGCGCCCGGTCAGGGGCCCCTGGGGCCCAAAACGGCCCAAAACCTCCCGTCCTGATTTTTCCCAGGAAGAGGACGAGGAGGAGGAGAAGGAGGAGGGGGATAGGGGCTCCTGACGACTTCGAAAAATACCGGTTTAATTTTCTCCAACTTTCCAGGCCCCCGGAAAGTAACGTTTTTTGTTGAACTTTCACTAAAGAGCCCTAAACTTTTTTACCTTTTTACAACTTTCAGGCCTGCCCTGAAAGTTACTTTTCGGCAGCTTTTGGGAAATGGACGCCCCCCCGCCCTCCCCCCAAAAGTTACCTTTTCGAGTTGGCTCTTCCTGGGGGGGGGGGGGGCAACTTTCGAAAGTTACTTCTTCAACATTTTCCAACTTTCCAGGCCCCCGAAATGTAGTTTTTCAACTTGTCCTAAATGTAGTTTTTCAACTTGTCCTAAACAACTCTTGGACGAAAAGAAAAAGACAAGAACAAAAACACTTGTTTCAACTTCCCGCCCCCCCCTGAAAGGTACTTTTCGGCAACATTTGGGCTCTGGGGCGCCCCCCCGAGAAGTTAACTTTTTAACTTTGTTCCGACTCTTGAACAACTTTCGGCCTCGCCAAAAACTAACTGTTTCAACTTCACCTGGGGCCGGGCCAACTTATTCTGGAGCCCGAGCGTTACTTTCCTAACTTTTTGGTAACTTCCCGTGGCAGTCGAAAGTAACTTTCCAGGTGGCCGACACGTTGGTGCACGAGGCGGGCGCCGGACATTTCGTGGACGTGCGGCCTGCAAGTGGGTGTCTACGTGGGAGCCATGCTGATCCTCTGGCGACGTCGTAGGAAAGTCGCGAGCCCGTTTTGGAGCACGAATGGGCGCATCCTGTCAGGGCATCCTCTGTTCAAAATCCCTCTCGCGCCATCTTGGGAACCTTTTGCGGGCACTGCAGCGGCACGATTCGCAAGGTCAATTAAGGAATCCTAGTGGTCTAGCGAAGAGTGAACGCGCACAAGACGCGCACAAGCCGTCTTCGAGATTAGAGTTGCGAGGATGTCATAGGCCAAAGTGGCCTCGGACACCGGAGTTCCGAGGATGTCTGAGGCGAAAGCGGCTGGACAACCATCGGGCAAGGCATCTCCGAGGTCAGAGTTGCGAGGATGTCTCAAGCGAAAGTGGGCTGACCACCGCAGCTGAAGGCATCTCGAAAACCGGAGGCGCGAGGATGTCTCAAGCGAAAGTGGCCGGACCGCAATGGGGCAGGGCGTCCCTGAGGTCAGAGTTGCGAGGATGTCTCAAGCGAAAGTGGCCCGACCACCTACGCCCAGGGCATCTCGGAACCCAGGCGAAAGCGGCCAAGCCGCCATGGGGCAAGGCATATCCGAGGTCAGAGTTGCGAGGATAGCCCGTTGCAGTCAAGGGGTTCCTAAGTGCAGCGGGTCTGCTCTCCTTCGCGGACGCTCTCAGGAGCCAAAAAGGCTCGCTGCATGCGGCGGATCTGCTCTCCCTTGCGCGGGCCACCCGGGAACCCTCTGAACCCTGTGAGGCCTGTGGGCCCTACGAGCCCTATAAAGCCCATGAGCCATATGAGCCCTATGAGGGCCGCCCGGGGCCAAAGCAGCCCGCTGCATGCGAGGGGGGTCCTAAATGCAGCGGGGCTGCACTCCCTCGCGGACCCTCCCGGGAGCCAAAAAGGCCCGCTTCGTTTCAGGGGGTTTGAAGTGCGGCGGCTCTGCTTCCCCTTGCGCGGGCCTCCCGGGAACCCGCTGGGCCCTGTGAGCCCTCTGAGCCTTGTGAGCCCTATGGGCCTTATGAGCCATATGAGCCCCATGAGGGCCGCCCAGGGCCAAAACAGCCCGCTGCATGTGAGGGGGGGTCCTAAATGCAGCGGGTCTGCCCTCCCTCGCGGACCCTCCCGGGAGCCAAAAGGGCCCGCTGCATGTAGAGGGGTCGTAAGTGCGGCGGACAAGGGGTTCGTAAGTGCAGCGGGCCTGCCCTCCCTCGCGGACCCTCCTGGGAGCCAAAAGGGCCCGCTGCATTTAAGGGGGTTTGATGTGCGGCGGATTTGCTCTCCTTTGTGCGGGCCTCGCGGGAGCCCTCTGAGCACTGGGCCCTATGAGGGCCGCCCGGGGCCAGAACAGCCCGCTGCACTTAGGGCGTTCCTAAGTGCAGCGGGTCTGCCCTCCCTCGCGGACCCGCCGTTGCCGACCAGGGCGGAAGCGCTACCAGTGCTCCAGGCGCGGCCGCCTCGTCGGGGGTTGCGGCGGCATCGCCCCCCAGCCCGACCGGCTCGCCCAAGCGGGGGGCCAGCCTGTGGAGGAGGCAGGCCAGCCAGGCGAAGGGGAGGAAGAAGCGCCCTGAAGGCGCGGGGGGGCCAGCGGACATATCTCGCACCCCTTCTTCCGAGCACGCCGACAATGCGGGCGGCTCAGCGTCGGACTCTGCCGCGCCGCTCCCAAGTCATGGGGGGCTCTCGATCGGAGGAGATCCTGATGCCTGCTGCGATGTGCCGAGCCAATTCTGCTGGTTCGGAGAAGCCTACGTTGGAACCGACACCGAACCGAAGGCATCTCCTGCCGACGCGCGGAAACGCCCAATGGGGGCCCAAGGTGGGAACTGCCGCCGTTCAGCGGCGCATCGGCTCCGTTGCCGCAGGAGGCGGTGGCCCTTCATTTCCAGCAGTCACGAGATCAGGATGCTCATCGTGGGGGCTGGATGCCACCCCTGCGAGGCGCTTGCAGCAGGGGGCCTCGGCGGGCCGTCGCTGACGTTGGGGCGTTGCCTCTGCCGCGGGCAGTGCGCCGAAGCCGCCGCCCCCAAGGGCG